CTCTAACATGAAACTTTTCCCTAACAGAAACAAGAGGAGGAGATCACACAGCTATGCAACGACTTCGAGAGACAAGTGAAAGGTCAGAATGTGCTTGAATCCCCTGTGTCTGTGTGCTAAGTCCTTGAAGTTCCTCTGTGCTGTTAGCCTTTCTGGAGCAGAAAGAGGCCACTTCATCCCCCAATTCTTGCTCTCTGTGCTCACAGCTGCTGGGCTGCGTGGCTAACAGTGGTGTCCAAGCTGAACTCTCAGCCTGTGAAAATGTGCTGTGAAAATGAAGCCTGGACAGGCATCTGTTGTGTGAGCTGCTGGGTGGAGGCAGGGCTCTCGCTGCTGCCAGCCTGCACTGCTGAGCACAGCTGGCTGGGTGGCTGGAGGAGTCCTTGCAGATCTAAGTGCTGGCTCCAGTGCCCTCCTCAGGGGACGCATCAGGTTCTCACGGGCTGCCTTGGAGCGTTTCCATGCCCTGTTTCCAGGATGCTATTTCTGGGCTCTGCTCTCCATGGTCCCAACATAACTGCTCTGTGTGCTGGTGGCAGCTGCTAAGGGGCTGTTAAGGAGCATCTTGTCCTCAAGCAATGCTGCAGTGGCACGTGCGGGGCTGCTGCTTGCTAACAGAGCCCAGGTGCATAGGCACAGGTTCTGTGGGAGGGTCTCACTCAGCCCCCTGTGCACTTCCCCAGAGATGGAGGCCAAGTACAACAAGAAGATGCAAGCACTGCGGGATGAGCTTGACTTGCGCCGAAAGACTGAGATCCATGAAGTCGAGGAGAGGAAAAACAACCAGATCAATGAGCTGATGAAGAACCACGAGAAAGCCTTCCATGACTTCAAGAACTACCATGACGATGTCACCTTCCAAAACCTGGCACTCATCAGCTTGCTGAAGGTACTGCCTGCCTGCTCTCTGACCCCGCTGCTGCAGCCCTGTTGTGTAGTGTCACCAGGGAACTGGTCCAGTAACTTGCCCCAGATCTGGCCAGTTCCCTGGTGGAAGTCCTGGCACTACTGTTTTTTTGGGAGTTGTACACCGTTACATGAGCAAAGTTTTTGTGCATAGGGAGATGTGGCTTGCTGGGCCAGCATTGGGAGGGTGTCCTGACCTGGGAAGCTGTGAGAAGCTGGGCAGATCCTGCCTCTAGAAGCTAGCAATTGTGTTCCCAAGAACAGGAACAGATGGAGGAGATGAAGAAGAGAGAGACTCACTTGGAAAAGGAGAAGGCAGATGTCCTGCTCCAGAACAAGCAACTGAAGGAACCCCTGCAGCAGGCCCAGGAGCAGGTGTTTGAGCTGCAGAAGAAATTGGCCCACTACAATAAGGACAAGGAGGCTCTGATGGTGAGCTGCCAGCTCTGCTGAGCCCTTTTGTATTCTTCCCTGATTCACCATGGCTGTTTCCTGGCATTGCTCAGCAGTGACCTCTGCCGCTCAGCTGAGAGTTCTTTGGCTCAGACTGCTGAGCGAACGCCCTTGAGTCCCTTTCAGCTTAGTTGGTGTGTGTAGGATCTCAGGTGGGACTCTAGCAAGAAAGAAGAGCAGACCTGCTGCAGAGAGGGAAAGGTGTTGGTGTGGCTGAAGCTTGTGTTCTCTCAACCCCATGTCTTCTGCTGGTTGCTCTCCCGCTTGCCAGAACACAGAACACCCATCTCCCAGAGACCTCCATGCTCTTGTAACTGTTGCTTCCTACTTGCAGAACACAAAAGCCCATCTGAAAGTCACCCAGAAGGAACTGAAAGACCTTCGATGGGAACATGAAGTGCTGGAACAGCGGTTTAGTAAGGTGAGAACTGCAGGTGGGTCTGGCCATCCTTTCTCTCTCTCCAAACCCTGTCCCCATGCAGAGGTTTAGGTTTAGAGACTGCCTGTGCTGTGCCTAGCTGAAAGCTTTCCAAATCTCTAATCCAGAGCAGCGCATTAGCTGCTGCTTCCAACAAAGCTTATCACAGTTTTGGCGTCTCCCGTGCTCAGCAGACAGGCTCAGCCTTGTACTTCACTGAGCAATCATGCGTGTGCTGATGGTTCCCTCCTGGCCTGCTGGTGGGAGGCTGTGGCACTGGGTCAGGAGTGGAGCTGCGTAGAGAGGCTCCCGCTACAGCAGGGAGAAGTATGGGGACAGTCTTTCCCTCGTTCTTCTGGCATGTGGATGTCACTTCCTTGCTTGTCGTGCAGCCTCTTCAATGAATATTCTGTTGACTGAGTTCTCCCAGACTGAGCCTCTCCTTTACAGCTAACCCAGATAAATTTATTGAGAGAGAACAGAGCTCATTTGCGATTCGTAGAAATCCCCAGGAATATGAACACTGATCTGAGGCCTCGTTAACAATCCATCATTAAGGCAGCAACATATTCAGTGCAGTCAGAAATAGGCTTTGGAGGAGAGATTCTAATTAGGACACTTATTAACTAGCTGTAAGCCAGGAACTCCTGCCAGCTGCAAGGAGGGGAGGAGAGACTCCTGCATGCTGGGGCCCCTCTTGTGGTCCAAAATAGTGCCTTGGGGCACAGCAAAGAGGAGCTTGGAGTCAGGGCCAGGCTGAGCGAAGCATGGTGTCTCTGCTGCTGTGTGAGGACAGTGAAGGCCTATTTGCTCCCTTCTGGAGCTCAGGAAGGGCGGGGGGAGGCTTGCAGCAAGCTGAGATATCCCAAAGGGTCCTGAGGATGGTGTGAAGCTGTGCTATGTTTTGGAGTAGGTGCAGGCAGAGCGAGATGAGCTCTACCAGAAGTTCACCAAAGCCATTAACGAAGTGCAGCAGAAGACTGGATTCAAGAACTTGCTCCTGGAACGCAAGCTGAAAGGACTCCTTGACGTCCTGGAGAAAAAGGAGGTGGAGCTCAGCGAGGTCTTTGCAGCCTCCAACCTCGAGCCAGGCGCCCTTTCCTTGGTCTCACACAAGCTGGAGGTAGCGTGCACTGCTGCAGGGCCCTGTGGAAGTTCTCCTTTTCTCCTCTTGAAGGGCAGAGGCTGCTCTGGTGGTTGCTTTGAGGCAAACGCAGACCTTAGAGGTGTGAGCGTGGTCCTGAGGTGCGTGGGCAGCATAAAGGCAGAGCCTGGCTGTGTGGCAGGAAACAGTCCCTGTCTTCCCTGCACTGTTGCATACCTGCCTGTATGGCCAGTCCCCAGCCTCAGAACGCTGCAGAAAGCACCTCAGTCTGCTCTGCTGTTGGCTGCACCATGTAGAAAGCTGGGCTGTGACTGTTGTGGCAGTCGTTCCCAGCACACCCATGACTGCGCAGTGCCGCAGGGCGCTCCGGCTCTCCCTCGAGTGTGGGGCATGTGGGCGTTTGGCACTGATCTCTAGCTCAGGTGGAGTCTCTTTCAAGGAGAATGGCCCCAGGCAGCACTGCTCAGGTCTCTGTGCTGACAGGTGGCATGTGGCATTTGGATGTGCTGCCACAAGCAGTGGGCTGCGTGAAGGGCCCATCTCAGCGACCCTGGGCACTCTGTGTGCAGGGAGCCACCGCTGGTGAACCTCAGCCATGCCTCTCTCCTAGCCTTGCTGGCTGCAGAGGCAGCACAGACAGGTTCCCAGTGGCTCTGCAATGTCTGGCATGCTAAAAATACATATGCAGAGAGCGTTGGCGCGGTGTGGCGGCTCAAAGACCCGCATTCCTAGAGCATGCAACAGCAGTAACTGGAGAAGCAGCATTTGCTTCACACTGGCTTCAGACAAAAGGGATGCAGGTTCCCTGCTCAGCTTGGTTGCCTCTTCCCTTGTGTCCTCCTGCCTGTACTGCTCTGTTCCTGGTCCCCTCAGTGGTGGGTGACAGCGATGCCCATGGAATCCCCCTTGCCAAGGAGCTCTGGTGATGAACACAGCAACAGCCCCAGACTTTCAGTCTGTGTGACAAGACAGTGGATTTGTCACCTACAAGCAGGTGCCACAGCAGCAGACTAGGAAACACATTCCTGGGAAGGCGTCGAGGCGTCGCGCTCTCCCACAGCTGCTGGGGTCCCTGGATTCCTTTGCTCAGCTGCCTCCAGTCACCGGCGTCATCATGGGGAGACTGTCCCTGTAATTCCCCCGGTGCTGTGGTGGCAGGGAAGTGCTGCAGGAGCAGGTGCTGCTATCCGCCCCCCCCCCCCTTGCAGTGAGGCAGGTGATGCTGATGCTGGGGCTCTGCTGGCATTCCTGCTCATGGTTTGGGAGGTCCCTGTGCCTTGCCTCTGCCTGGGGCTGGCTGTCTCTGGCAGCGCTGGCTCCAGAGTGGTGACTGTCTGCCCAGCCATGTCCCAGCACAAGCATCTGCTCAGTGTGCTGTGCCACATGCTCTGGCCTGCAGCATGGCCCCAGGCTGATGTGCCCTCGGTGCCAGCAACTCAAGTCTAACGCAACTGTCTCCGCTTGCAGGATGTGCTCAATTCCAAGAACGCCACCATTGAGGACCTGCAGTTCCAGCTGGCCCGAGCCTGCAAGGTGAGGAAGGGGCTTGGGTTATGCTGTGTTCCTGGGGCTGGGGGAGCAGAAGGAAAAGTAGAAGCCTTCCCTCCAGGCCTTGAGCAGGAGCTGCCTGCTCTGTTTTGTGTCCTGGAATACTGGCCCAGGCTGCAGTTTTCCCCATTCCCCTATTTCCCTGTGAAATAAGGTCTGTTGAGGGGCTCCCACCATTCAGAAGTCTGCACTGTGCCTGTGCCTTGGTAGGGAGGGGCTGGGCTGGGTTTTGGGATGGCAGCCCAGAGCATGGAGCATTTTTCTTCCAGGCACACAACGACATGCTACAGACATTGGAGGCAAAGCTGACATCCTTTGGGATCCCACTGGACAACCTGGGATTCAAGCCCCTGGAGAGCCCTGTGGTGGGGCAGGCAGTGGGGCAGGGCCCTGCAGGACTTGTGGCGGTGCCCACATGACACCATGCAGCATCTCGGGGTGCTCCTGGGGCAGGGAGCAGGGCTGTGCTTGCCTCGTGCTCCCAGCATCCGACCCAAAGGAAAGTGAATTTTTTGAGACTGATGGTGCTGTTTGAATCCTTTAATGGTATCAGTCAAGTAGTTCCCCTGTGGCACTGGAGCAAGGATATGCCTTGCCCTAGCTGCCCCGATACGTTGTATAGGAGTAGGGGCTGATCAGCAGTGGGACATGCAGCTTCTGGGCTGGGTCAGTGATGGTGAAGACAACCTAGGGGAGAGCAGGGAGGTGGTGAGTGGGTTATAGTCACGGCCAAAAGCACCGCCTTCTTCTGCCTGTAGCCTGGGCAGCCCTGCAAGCAGTGCTGGCAGTGCAGCAGGAGCGTGGTTGAGGATTGTGAGCTCCTGCAAGCATGGACACAGCATGCGAACCCCTGCAGCTCCTGCTGTGACCAGAGCTGGCTCTTAGCAGCACCCCAGACCCCATGCTCAGCCCACGGTACCTCCACGAAGGGGTAGAAGCTGCTGTACCCCAGGCTTTTCCAGTAAGCTGCTGTCTCGAAGCGCAGTTTATAGGTGCCAGCCTCAGCCTGCCCAGGGGGCAGGAGGGGCAAACAGCGTCCATCTGCATCCGTCCACCTGAAAGCAGAAGGAAGCAGAATGTGGCTAGCTCCGGTAGTTGCCGTGGGTGATGTGGGCAGCAGTCTCCACTGCTTACTGCTGACTCTCCTACCTCTGTGCCAGCTCTGTCCACTGTTCCCCTGGCTCTCCCAGCTGTGTCAGGCGCAGAGCGAGGCCGGCAGCGGGCAGCCCTGTGGCCGTGTTCAGCACGTGTGTGGTCAGGGAACCGCTCAGCATCTCAGGCTTATCTGGAGCCTGTGGCACAGAAAGGGAGCAGCACTGAGCTGTGCCTATGCCATCCATCTCCCCCTAGTACCATGCTGTGCCTACTGGCACCAAGGGCATGAATAGTGGGGGCGGTGGGGAGCCCAGGGTAGGCACTGCCACAGCTGGGCACCCCCCCATCCCTGGATGTCCCCAGCCCTCTGGAAGTGCCCCATGCACCCACCCTAAGCTGGTGTCTGTGCAGCTGGGTCCCTTCTGGCACTTCTCCCTCCCCACCACCGTGCTGTGCCCCCAAGACACAGGTGCCCACCACCCTCCCACTCCGTGAGGCCAGCTGTTGGGGCACAGGGCTGTGCTGCAGCCCAGCAGCCGCCTGCATGCTGTGGGCACCACTGCTACCCCTGGTGTGGGCGTTCTGCTGGGAAGGAGGGCTGCCTGCCGGGCTTCCTGCTCAGCCCCGCGCCTGCATGCTGCTGGCTGCCTGGAAGCAGCCATGTCCCCGTCGCCTTCCCGGCCGGCACTGATCTGCAGTGTCACCGTGTCACGTGTGGTGGATATTAACCCTGCAAGTGCTCCTGGGCTGCCTGGGGCAGGCAGCCAGCGCAGGGTCAGAGCACCTGCCCCTCTAGAGAGTGGGGCAGCTGATAGGCACTGATCTGAGGGTGCCGGAGTGGGGTGGGTGCTTGCTTCCAGCCTAGAACCAGCTGTGGGCCTTGGCTGCTGGCTGAGCTGGCAGTGCTGGAGGCACAACAGCACGTGAGGGCACCCGGTGGCTTACCTGCCTTACCTCCATCCTGCTCTTCCAGCTCCCCACGTCTGATGCCACCACTCAGAATGCCATCCCCTGCCCCGGCTGCCCTCCCCACGGAGCTGCTGGGCCGAGTGCCGCTATCCCAGCACGCTCCTCCCCGGCTGGGCCGGCCTGCGCAGGCGGCTCTGTGCTGGGCAGCGCTCCCAGGTGCCTCAACAGCACCCAGCACCTCAGCCCCAGGGCTGGTGGACCCAAGCCCAGATGAACGTTGGTGTGCCAGAGCAGGGCTGAGCCCCTGGGGTCTCACCTGGACGAGCTGTGCTCGTTCAACCTGCCTGTCTCCTGCAGTGTGCTGAGGTGTGGCTGCCCGCGTGATGGAGCCCAGCTCCCTCCTGGGCTGTGGGGAACAGCCCAGAGCCTCATCCACACTAGGGCTGCCCAGGAGAGGTGCAGCTCACCTTGTTGGTCTTCAGGATGTCATCGCTGCTGGGGTTGCTGGCATCCGTGACCTCAATGATGGTCGTGGCGGTGTTGGACAGGCCCTTGCCCTCCTGGTCCGTGGCCTGGACAATCAGTGTGTAGTTGGGAGTGGTCTGCAAGATGAGGTCACACCATCAGAGGCCCCGCGTCCCCACAGCGCGTCCCACCACCCCTCTGTGCGTGGGCTGTGTGCCTGCCGTGGGGCACGAGGAGAGCGCCCACCTCCCGGTCCAGCCCCGTGCCCAGCACGCTGATGATGCCCTTGGCCAGGTCGATGGTGAACATCTGCGGGTGCGGGCTGGGCGGCTGCTGGCTGACAATGGAGTAGCTGACGATGCCGTTGTCGGTGTTCACCGCGTCGTCTGCGTCCGTGGCGTTCACGGTCATCACGGAGGTGCCTGGGCAGAGCGAAGAGCCGGGCAGACGTCACTCGTGGGACGCGGCACCGCCGCCCCCAGCACCGCTCCGCACCGGGGCTCCTGGCCCCCCGCCCGCCCGCTGGTCCCCGCACCCGGCTTCGCGTTCTCCTCGATGTAGCCGACGAAGACCTCCTTGATGAAC